AGGCAGGGAATCCAGTAGAGAAAGACGCTGAAGCCATTAAATCCCAGCAGGTGTGGGGCAGGGGGCAGAGACCCTGTGAAGTTCTGGAGCCCGCTGAAACTTGAGTTTCAAACACTTGGTAAGGGTCTATCTTTTCTCTGATTTAAATAGGAAAACAATATTTCTTCCTAAAATCTGTCTAGGCCTGGCCTTTTCCTTCCTAACATAATGTGGTTGCTTTCTCCAAGAGTTTCCATTGTTTACATCTTAGCAACCAATTACTCATCAGTCAGGATTCGGGCGAAGGAAAGGATCGCACTACAAAAAATATTATAGTCCCCAGCGCTTGTAAATTAATCTTTATTTAATCCTTATTGTTAATCTCAAGAATTTAGCTTTACTATCAAGGAAGTAAAAGGACAGCATCTCTTTAAAAATGTTGTATTTAGTCAGCCAAAAATAGGACTAATGCCATCTACATGGAGGAATATAAAACTGCAGTTATTTTCAAATTACTAAATAAAATTTCCCCACTAATATCCGAGCCCAGATAACCACTCTGAAACTCCAGAACATGTCCATGGACCCTTCCAATTTACCTGTTCCCTAGAATCTAAAACTATCTGGTTATGGCCTTTTTACCTAAACTCAATTTCTGGGTTCACTATATTCCAAGGTTGAGTCCTACCGCAGTATTTCTAAAATCTTTTGGGGTTTGTTTTGTTCTGTTTTTTTCCTGAATGCTTAAAGTCAGCCCCAGCTGAAACCTCGTGTTAAGAAAGCCCTCGTGTTAATAAAGAGTTGGTGGTGGAAACTGTATTAAAAGGAAACGACCTTAACGTTCCTGTCTCTAAGCCACACATTATATCCTGATGGGCACTCTGACCCGGGGGTCAGAAATGTAACAGGACGATCGGTACCACGGGGACTGGCACAGATGTCACCCATTGGGAGCCCTTCTCGCCGCCAGGTACTCAGCGCAGGCAGCCTTCTTGCCGTTTCTCGTTTCCATCAGGTGGAAGCTCAATGATGTTAATTTTGCTTGAACAACTTGTATAGGATGGAACACCTTTTAACCCACGGTGGAAGACAACGGTTCACCTTCCTTCTACAGAAGCGCTGGCACAGAAGCCAGGGGTGGCGCAGCTCAGAAAGAACTTTGTCACAAGGCTGCAGAGGGCTCCTGGCGCGGCCTCACAGCCGCATTCCGCCCGCAGCCACCGACTCATCCTTCGCATTGGTGCTCACACTGAATTAACAGAATGTCGGGACAGAAATATCCCTGCGTCACCTTAGGAACACTGACTCACTTACTTTTTGTTGTGTGACTGTGACGTATTTATTCAGCCTTACTAATGCACGTAACATTCATTTTAAATGACAGTAACTTTGTTCACAGGAGAAACGCTGAGAGGCAATTTCACACAGTGGTTAAGGGCACTCACTCAGGGGCCACACGGCCTGTATTTAAGTCTCAGCTCTGCCACTTAGTAACTGTATAACCTTGGGCAAGCGCCTTGACTTCTCTGCGCCTCATTTTTTCTCATAAGTAAAATGGGAATAGCAGCACCTCATAGGGCTGCAGTGGGAATTAGATGAATTAATTAATCCACACCAAGTGCTTAGAACACAGCTGGGTACATACAACATCGTCAGTAAGTGTTGGCCACTGTTATTAGCTCTTATTTTGAAATTAATGGAGAAAATGGTTCACATTATAAAATTTCAATCTAAATATTACATACAGTATTAGGAATTTTGATAGGGCTGGAGGAAATTCTCTCGAGCTGAACACACACTCGCATGCCCTAGAGAAGCAGGGAAGGTTAAAGCCTAAAGCTCAGGATCAAGACCGGGGGCTCCATCGTGACTGAACCACCGGCCGCTGGGCGACTCTGGGCCCTGCTTCCTTCACCTGCACGGTGAAGGGTCCCCTACCTGTTCTTGGAAGTTACTATCAGCTCTAACAATCTGTGACCCTTGAATCCACATTGTTCGTTCTGTCAGCTAGGTAGTACTATTTATACAAGTCTGAACAGAAACAAATAAGCATCTGTAAGTTTTCATGAAGTTAAAAAATGAAAAATAACAAGGATAGATCCCAAAGTCCGAAATGCCAATGTGAGTGGCCCTGTCCCTTTGACACATTTCCTTGTATGAACACTTTAGGGAGAGCGCCTCCAATACGGGAGACAGTTCCAGGGCCTGTCCAGGATTTACAAAGCACAGAACTGGGATCTAGCCCAACCTTCTCGGGGCTGCGCACAGGTGGGACTCCGGGCCTGTGACCCCATTTCTGATCCCGATGCTCTTACACTAAGTGTGACAGCCCATGAATAGCTTCACAAGAAAAACCAACTCGGTGGTGAATCGTTTCAAATAAAATTAAAATGGTAACTTGATTTCTAAGATTACTGGACTTCCAAAAGATGTTTTATCTGACATACCTGAAATAAAAACTCATGAAAAATAACAGAATGATGGTGTTTTACACACTGATTTATTTTAAAGCATAATGTATAAGAAAATGTAGAGCCTCTCACAAAGCATTTGATAGTTTAAATACAATATTTAAGCTTTAAATAAAGTCTCTAATTATGTAAATATACATACTTTTAGCCATAAAAGTGCAATTTTAAAGGCAAATTTCAGACCTCTTAAGCTACATGCTAGCTAATGGCAAGCTTAAGAACATTAAAATGTGCATTTATAAAAATTTTAGAAAATTCATGAAAATGGTTTATAAACATTATAAATATAAACATCTACCACATAATGTGGGGCTAAGGCTTCATGATCTACTTACAAATGCTGAAATCCTGTCTTTTATAACATTATAAAGCTATTATAAAAGTTTTAATTTATATTCTTATTTAAACTCCCTCATGTCATCTTCACTAATATCAAGCACAGGTGTGTATTACATATGTAAACAGATACTACTTTTCCCCTATATAATGCCCCACCATAGAAATACACTTGGTCTAAGGAACAATCAGAGCATAGCGAAGTGCTGCTTTAACTGCTTAATTAAATGCTGGGTGTCCACGTGATCTGGAAATGCTGCCTCAGACTTCCGAGCAGCCACATAGCTTCTCTGCAGATCGCCAATCTGTAAGAAATACCAGAATAAGAGCCCAGAACGAAACCTCCCAAATGAGGAAGGAAGTCAAAACAGGGCCTACTATCTGCACACTGTCCAATCCAAAGGGTACTTAAGGGTAAATTGCTTGATTATGCTACCTGTGTTTTAGAATTCTTTCACCTAGATAACAATTCAGTCTTGAAAACTATGAGAAAAATAAAATAACCAATTATATAAATAATTCCTGCTCCATTACAGCTGTCTAGTTATAACTACAAACCTGTTTTCTTTTCTGTCACAGAGAGTATGATAAAAATAAAAAGCATCTGCATGCTAAAATAGCCAGCTTGGTGTAGTTGAGGGAAGCCTAGAACTACTATTGGTAATGTACCAGAAAGGCATATTTTGATTAGGGTATTATGTTTCAGACAGAAAATTCAAGCAGAAACTATTGTACTTAAAATAAAATAACATGCTCTGGGAGGTTTTAACGGTGCTAGCACATTAATGTTGGAAAAAATATCTGGTTTTAAGTTTATAAAGGGTGTCTCTGATTACAAGAAACTATGTGTTAAAGTCCAGTCCCAAAGAAAAACACACACAGTATTTGAATCCATCAGACTGTATCTTGATTCATGCACACATTTCTAAAACGAGAGATTCATAGTGTGTGCACACCAAAATAGATATTCAATTCTGGTGGTGGTTGTTGTTTTTTTATAACATGTATATGCATTAAAAACATCACTTAAGTTTCCTTTTTAAAATCATAGCATTTCTTTACAACACACTGTTTTCTCTAATGGAGGCATAGCCTTTGCTAAAAGAAATATCTTGGTTGAGTTATACATTATTTAAGTGTGACAACGCTCCTGGAAGAAAGTAATCCAGCCAGCCTTCTCTGCGGTTTAACTGTGAGGCAGCACAGGGCGGGGGGGACACCTAGGCGTCAGCAGGAGCTGTGTGAATCTGCACCTGAGACTCTAAAGAAGCCTTTTAAGCTTTTCAGGCCTTGGGCTCCATTAGACTATCAGCTGCATGAGGTAGAGGTTTTTGTCCGCTTTGTTCATTACTAACATCTTCTGTGCCTACAACAGTGCCTGGTACATAGCAGAGGCTCATTTTTTAAAAAATCATTTATATGAAAAAATGAGTGTAGAGCACTTGGACAGTGGCAAGCACTTATAAGCGCTCAAAAATGACCACGTAAGAGTGACAGCTTAGCTTATTTTCCAGACAGAAGTGAGAGTGGCTTCATGTTCATGCTATGCAAATGGCATGTTTTTATAATGTCTTTGGTCCATAAAGAATCTTCACATCAGCAAACGTCTGTAGCCACTTCCCTGTCCCCAAAACTCGCCTTCCATGTTAAAGGGAGGTTGCCAAGCAGTCAGTTATTCAATGTCTTTTGTTTTCTCATTACGCACAGGATTCCTTCTAGCTCCTGGATATTAACTGACTTGTAACAGTATTAACAGTTGCATTTTCCCCATACTGTTCATAGAGAAAATAGCTTTCACCACTACCCCTAGTTTTATAGCAGTCATGCCAGAGACGGTGGCAATATGACCTACAGATAATTCACAGGATTTCCCTGCTGTAAAAGCCAGTTACTGAATCCTCCCCAAACCAGCAGCTACTTAATGAGTATATTTTTATTATCATATTTTAAAACATAAAATAATTCTCCTGCAATCCATAATGGTGTTAAGTTTAGTCAATATTCAGTGATAAAGTTCTTTATAGTTTCTTAAACTATCCTTTAGGGAAGACATATGTGTATATAACAGTTGTGTTTTAAAAAATCATTTCTTTCAGGAAGTTATGGTTAGAATGTCCTTATTTATCTGTACTTTCTTTAAAACCAAGGGAAAAAAAGAAACATATCAGATAGTAAATTGATGTAGAAAGAGAATACCTTATCAGAGATTGCTGCAAAATTAAAATGCGGCTCATACATATGGGGTGCTAAAGATGATGCAGTTTGTAACAGTGCTCTTGCCTGTGTAAAAAAAAACAAAGAAAAAACCAAAGGTATATGAGCATATGTCAGCATTATATGTGTGATTTTTTGGGGTAAAAGAATCCTTTACCCAGGATAGGATCTTAATAAACGTGATGTGATAAATATAGATGACATTTCTCATGAAATACAACTTATTGATATACAACTAACTACTTATATCTTGCCAAAAGTAGATTAATAAAAAGTTTCAAAATATGGAGAAAATAAGAGAATTGAAAACTTAAGAGCAGATTAAGTTACTTGAGAACCACTGTTCTTGTAAAGTTTATATTTCAATATGACAACTCAAAATATAATCCTCTCAATGCTTAAAAAAAAAGTCTTGTTAATCCAGCCTGTGTTGCTGTTGACAGATTTCCTGGGCTTCTAATTGTCTGTCCTCTAATACAACAGAAACAACAAAAAGCCACAGGAAATTTCAGACCCAAGTTCTGTGCTGGGTGACAGTGGGGTCCTGCTGACCCCAAAATGAAAACTGAATGCATCTGAAAATGACAGGCTTTCTGTTCTCTAAAATACACAAAAAACCCCACAAAATTCACATCAATTTTCCATCTGCTGTAGGCTCAGAGGCTTATACATTGCAGGGATCATGAGTGGCATGAGATGCTCATACACTCACCATGAAGACCACAAAGTCAGCACTCCAAGCTGCTGAACAACCCTCTAACGAGTATAAACCTCAAACCTCTATCCGTGACTCTGTGAACAAATTTGTATAGCTTATTTTTAATGGAAAATAAAATGACAGTTCATATAGAATAGTGCATTAATTCTTTTGTTTTATGATTAGCTATTTTCTTTTTTTAATTGAGGTATAATTAATAATAAAATGGGGTTAGTATCACGAAACCTTTTACCCAAACATTTCAAATCACTTGTATACTGGAGAGACTATGATAAGCAAGAGAGAAAGGAAATCACTAATGTGAGAATGGAGAAAGATCACAAGAAGTGCTTGCTGCGTGTGGACATAGGTAAAGTTCCAAGACAGAACAAGTTCCCATTTTAGAGTAGCTAGTTTTTGTTTATAAAATAGGCATCCGCCCAGGCTGGGTGGCTCGGCTGNTGGGCTGGGTGGCTCGGCTGGTTGGAGCATTGCCCGTACACCGAGAGTTATGGGTTCGATTCCCAGTCAGGGCACATGCCCAGGCTGCAGGCATGATCCCAGGTAGGGACGTGCAGGGGAGGCAACCAATCAGTGTTTCTCACATTGATGTCTCTCCACCACCTTCTTCTAACTCTAAAAAATCAATGAAACCATATCCTTGGGTGAGGATTAAAAAAAAACATCTTATTTACTTTGGGAAGTTTATGAAAAGCAACANCATCTTACTTTGGGAAGTTTATGAAAAGCAACATCCAATATGTTTCTTTCCTTGNACATCTTATTTACTTTGGGAAGTTTATGAAAAGCAACATCCAATATGTTTCTTTCCTTGTTTTGTGAAAAGTTTTGGAGACCAGGTGGCACACTGCTCACTGCGCCTGTGACCTTGGGAAGTTACCTACTCACCTTGAGTCTCTGTTTCTTCATGTCTAACGTTTGGAATGTAATAATATCTATCTTTGATGACCTCTAAAGTTGTGTATTTAGCATTTTAAAATCCTGTTATAATGATATAATTTACTGAACATCTATTATGCTAAGTGCTTTGCATGTATGATCTGCTAATCTTCACATAAACACCTGGGGCACTGCTATTACCCTGTATTATGTAGCATCCATTCATTTCACAAATATGGACCAAGCACCTACCATTGGCTGGGCACTGTTTTTGATGCTGAAAATATAGTAGTTAGAAGACAGAGAAAGTCCCTCCTTTCTCATAGCTGACATTCTACACATAAACATGAAAATATCTGATAAAATGATAGAACTGTGAAGAAAAAAATAGCAGGAGATGTGACAGTGCCCAAGGGCTCCTTCACACTGAAGTGCGAGATGGCCTTTCTAAGGAGGCAGGGATTGAGCTAAGACGTCAGTGACAAAAAGAAAAGTCACTGCAGGATCTGAAAGAACTTTCCAAAGGCCCTAAAGTAAGGAGAGTCACTGCATAGTTGTAGAGCGGCAAGGCAGCTAATGTGTCAGAAAGTTGGTATGAGGTGTACAATAGCCCTCCCTCATCCAAGGGGGATACACTGCACGGCCACCAGCGGGTGCTGAAACCGTGGATAATACCAAACCCCATACACGCTATGTTTTTCACTTGCATACATACCTATGATAAAGTTTAATTTATAAATTAGGCATAAGAGATTAACAATAATAAAATAGAACAATTATGACAATATACTGTAATAAAAGCTATGTAAATGCATTGTCTCTCTCTGTGTCTGTCTCTCTCTGTGTGTCTCTCTCTCTGATAACCAATCTGGTAACCAAGACAGCTACCAAGTGACTAATATGCAGCGTGGATACGCTGGACCAAAGGATGATTCATGTTCCTGGGCAGGATGGAGTGGGATGGCACAACCTTTCTTTACGCTACTCAGGACAGCACACAATTTAAAACTCATGTTTATTCCCAGAATTTCCCATTTAATATTTTAGGACCATGGCTGAATGCAGGTAACAGAAATTGAGGAAANTGCTACTCAGGACAGCACACAATTTAAAACTCATGAATTGTTTATTCCCAGAATTTCCCGTTTAATATTTTAGGACCATGGCTGAATGCAGGTAACAGAAATTGAGGAAAGCAAAACCATGGACAAGGGGGGACTATTGCAGTGGCAAAACGTGTAGTCTGAGAGGGAGCCAGAGGCAGCATGAAACGGGGCCTCGTAGGCCAAGGTTTGAAGCCCAGATTTTACTCCAAGTGATAGGACAAAGCCTTTGGAGGAAGCTAAGCCAAGCAGTAATAAAACCACCTTGTGCTTTAGGTCCTGTGGCTGTTCCGAGGGGGATTATTCCAGGGCACGCTTACCTGCTGACATGAGTGTAAACAAAAAGACCAGCCATGAGGCCCCTGCAGTGGTCCAGGCAAGAGGCGAGAGCAGTTTGGAGAAGGGGATGCAGGGCGGAAGAAAGTGGCTGGGTTCAGGACGTGGCTTGCCGACCATGCTGGGGACATGGGGTGGCAGGAGAGGCACTCAGAAAAAAGAGGTTTCCAGGGTGGCTCCTAGGATTCTGGCTTGAGCAGCTAGATGGTGGATGGGGGTTGTGCACGGTGCAGCATTTCACTAAGACAGGGAAGACTGGAGGTGCAGGTTTGCCCTAATAAAGTCAGGTGCTCGATTTTAGAGACGGCTTAAGGAAATTGTGCGAGGTCACATCACTAATATGTGACAGGGCTGGGATTCAAACCCCGGCTGGTCGGGCTCCAGAGCTCACTGTTAAGTTATATATAGCATGTGAAGGTGCTTCGCGCAACAGCTTTTCTTTGAAGACAGCAGACTGTCCACTGTGCCGCTCGCGGTTCACTGACCTGTTCCACGTGGCCCTTCCGCATCTCCAGCACGGCCAGGTTGTTGTAGGCCTCGGCATGGTTATTGTTGTTGACCAGAGCCAGCCTGAAGCACTGATGGGCCAAACTCGTGTCTCCAATTCCCTACAAAAGAAACGCAAGCATCCGCACATGCCGATCCAGACACTTCGTCCTGCCATCTCCTCCCACCTTTCCTCATCCACATCCTTTCTGCTACCACAGAAAAAGCAACAAGTCCCCAATCACAGGAGTCAGGCGTGAATTGCATGTAAGAGGATTTAACCTGGGAACATAAAACAAGTTATGGTGACTCTCAGAAATCTCTAAATTGCTACTTAAGACTGTTACCAAACCTGGATTGACAATACCTGAAAATGCCTTCAGCTAACTTGTGCTACCTTTTCTGTGACCGAAATCATATTGGAGGAGCAGCATACCACGGCCACATGTCCCAGGTTGTACCAGACATCGGCTGCCTCTTCTTCATTTCCAGCCAGAGAAAGGGCACGTTCGAATGAGGTCAGAGTCATATCATACTGCTGGGCATAGAAGCAACAGAGCCCCAGATTGTTGAAAAGCTGGCAGTTATAAACCCCCATCTGCAGGAGTCGCCTTTTGGAGAAAAGCACACATATTTTGGTGTCAGACTGACTTTATAAATGTTTAGACATATATTTTTTACAAATTTAGAAGTGAATTTATAATTTTAACACCTCCAAATATAAATAAGAAGTATTGCAGTCAATGAAAAAAGTGTTAAAGCAAATACAAAAGCATGTCTTTTTCAATAGTACTAGTTATGGTAACAGTGTCCAGAGGCAAGGTCAGAAACAGCTTACATAAATTGGAGTTTTTCCCCCCCAAAAGCTTTGTTAGAGAATCAAAATAAGACATAAATAATCATGTAAAGTAAAGCCCGCACATTTTTGCTTCATAAAGCTTTCCTGCCCACAGGTAAACTCCTAAACCTTCTGATCTAATTTGAGGACTGCGTTTAGCATTTAGCTCCAAGTTTTCAGCTGAGTTGGGTCCTGTTTTGGGTTACAAGTATTTTGTGGTTTAGCTGCATCTACTGACCTCCACTGGGCTCCCACCAAGGAAGGCAAGACTGTCAGTGGATCCCTGTTACCCACTTAGCTTTTAAGCTACAGCTCAAGAAGCTTATTTTGCTTCTTTGCATCATTCACCCCAAAGGACAAAGGACAAGAGTTCAAATAAGCAAATGAAATCCACCCCAGCTGCCCTGAGGAACCCATGGCCTGCCCTGGGGGCAGGGAATAGAGTCAGCTGTCTGCGACAAGACAGCATTTATATTACTATTTATGTATCTCTGGGAAGAACACTTGTCAGCTGCTGGTTATGTCCTTGTATATTACCTAAGGGCTGAAGAGGAAATCAAAATTTAATCCAGAAACCAGTATAGGATACAATAAATATGTGCCCAAAAGAGAACCAGAGACGCAATTTATTTAGACTGAAGAATTATTTGGACAAAAGCTGACAATACTTCACAAAGCACAGGGCCCTGTTTCAGGTCCTCATCAGGGCTCAGAACCTGGGGCCTACTGCTGTTTGCAAATCTCATCCCCATTTCAGCTTCAAGGCCCTTATATTATACATAGTGGAATTAATGAAGGCAAAGATGGTGAGAGGTGCTTCCAGTAGCTATTAAACTGTTACTGGTCAATGACAACATGGCTAATTCATACAATGCCATCAGGTTAAACTCTCAGGCGATTACCTGGGTGTTTCTACAAGATGCTGAATATCTATGTGTTTCCAAATTATTAGATGTCGTTTTCAGTGCTCACAAAACATCTGGGTGTTTGAATTTTTAGTCCCGTATAGACATGGCTTAGACACTACTTCTCTGCATTTTCAGTCTCTCTTATTACTGTCTCATCAAAATGCCACAGGAGAGCACTTTTGCAAGTGGAAGGTAGGGCACACCTGTAGAACCGGAGGGCTATTTCTGGTTGATCGGAGTAAAAGTGGTTGCTTCCAATGCACGCGATGGCTTCTATGTGAGTATTGTCCTGTTTCAAAACTTCTTTGTAGTATTCGGAGGCCGATGAGATGTTGTTCATCTCCTATTCTCCGTCAAGACAGAAGAGCAATACTTCATTGATATTGCCAAGAAATTCTTTTCTTACTGACTGGTTTACATTCTTCCATCAGTAAGTATTTATTAAGAGCCTACCACGGGCTAGACTCTGTTCTGGGTACGACATAATCCCCACTAGGACGCTTTCCTCTCTCTTTCTCCCTTCCTCTAAGGGCAGAGAGAAATCCTACTTTTCCAACAAAGCCCTCCCTGGGCACGCATAAAAGGATACTAAAAGGATACATTCCTCCACCTCCTGGCCAAAACAAAGCAGGGATGGGAAGAAGGGAGCCGGTAAAAGGATCTGCTCCAGGGCCTTGCCTACCCCAGCCATAGCAACAGTGACAACAACACAGGCTTGGGGGGAAGTCTTCTGACCAGCAGCAGCGTGTTAAAGATGCCGCTGCTCTCTAGATCCCTCCAGCAGCGTGTTAAAGATGCCGCTGCTCTCTAGATCCCTCCAGCAGCGTGTTAAAGATGCCGCTGCTCTCTAGATCCCTCCAGCAGCGTGTTAAAGATGCCGCTGCTCTCTAGATCCCTCCAGCAGCGTGTTAAAGATGCCGCTGCTCTCTAGATCCCTCCAGCAGCGTGTTAAAGATGCCGCTGCTCTCTAGATCCCTCCAGCAGCGTGTTAAAGATGCCGCTGCTCTCTAGATCCCTCCAGCAGCGTGTTAAAGATGCCGCTGCTCTCTAGATCCCTCCAGCAGCGTGTTAAAGATGCCGCTGCTCTCTAGATCCCTCCAGCAGCGTGTTAAAGATGCCGCTGCTCTCTAGATCCCTCCAGCAGCGTGTTAAAGATGCCGCTGCTCTCTAGATCCCTCCAGCAGCGTGTTAAAGATGCCGCTGCTCTCTAGATCCCTCCAGCAGCGTGTTAAAGATGCCGCTGCTCTCTAGATCCCTCCAGCAGCGTGTTAAAGATGCCGCTGCTCTCTAGATCCCTCTGCCAGCACTGCCTGCCTAAGAAAAGTCCGGCACAGGGCCTGGGATGTGGGGAAGGCAGATCATGAAGGTTCAGGAACTCTGACTGCATCAGAATTGTCAACACTACGTTTCACAGCCTATCTTATTACCTACCCTTCCTTTCCAAGCCTTTTGCTCAAAATTCTGTTCATGTTCAATTTAGAGTCACACAAGGAAAGATACAGAGATACTGATATATTATTTTTATTGACTGATCAAAGTCTTCTATTTACATGTTTATCAAAACTATATTTCAAAAGGGGAAACGATCTTTCCAGACAATTCAAAAATAATGTTTTCTTTTTTTAAAGCAAGGCATGTTCATTACAGAAAATCTGGAAAATACTGAAAGTATAAAGCACAAAATAAAAATCATTTATATACTACTATCTAGATTTAGAAACTATTAATATTTTCCATTCTTTTTCTAACAAAATAATTTTTAAAATATCATACCTAGCATTTTAAGGAATTTAATAAAGAACAGAGGTGCTTCTATTAAATACTATACTGGAAGTCCTAAACAGTAGGATATTTTTTAATTTGGTAAAATATTTGAAGACATGAAACCACTTGTGGCTGATGATTATTTTGTCACTTAGAAATTTTAAGAGAACCTGTGGATAAAGAATTAAAATTTAAAGAGTATTAACCAAGTAGCTAGTATCAAATCTACTTTTAAAAATCAATGCATTCCTACTAACTGGAAATAATCAAATAGGAAATACAATAGAAAAAAGGTTTCCACTCATAGTTCTACACAGGAATATATCTGTGCAGCAAAAGTTAATACAGCACGCCTGAGACTGTTATTCCTAGAAAGGCCAGCTTGCAAGGTTGGCCCTTGGGTGGCATCTGAGAACTTGGCTGGTTCCTTACATTGATAAAAAACTTTCCCCAAATGATAAGCAGGGCTCACTACACTCAAACTGTTTGTACAAACAGTGTTGTTTATGCTGAATGCTTGCTTGACTTCTTGGAGTCTGGGATTTTGGTACGTGATAGGTAGAGGGTGCCTATATGACCAGCCCCCAGAAATAACCATGTGCTTCCCTGATAGACAACACTCCGCACATGTGGTCATAACTTGTTGCTGAAAAATTGGGTGTGTCCTGCGTGAGTCACTGGGGGAGGGCTCTTGGAAGCTCGTGCCTGGCTCCTCTGAACTTGGCCCCAGGTGCCTTTTCCCTCTGCTTTGGATCTTTCTAATAAATCATCGAACCTCAGCATGGTTGTGGAGATGCCCCCCAACAAAACATCTTTATGGAGATAATTACAAAATATTTGTTGCAGAACAAAAAAAGATGATCAAAATACATGGAGACGTACTGAGAATGGGAGGAAAGGCAGCCCACCCCCACCCCATCACTCCTGTATTCAACTCAATTCCCATCAGTATCCCTGCAGTTATTTTTCAAATGGTTCCTGATAAGTCAATCTTAAAATCAATGTGGAAGAGCAAAGGGCCAAGAATAACCAATTGTGAAGAGCAGGTGGTATAACTTGCCCAAGCTGGTATGGGGAATTATTAAAGCTAAAGTAATTAGATGGCAGGGGGGACACCTCAATGGGGCGTTTCATGGAATTTGACAACACTACCCTAAAATTTATAAAAATAAGCAAAGTCCAAATTAGCCAAAGCATTCCTGATAACAATGAAAAAGTGTCTTACCAAATAGTAAGTTTTGTAAAACGACAGTAATTAAGATGGGAGCATGCTGTTATAAGGCTAGACAAACAGACCAATAGAACAGATTAGAAGGCCCCACAATGTATCTACCACATAAAGAAAAAAATTCTAGTTGACAATGAAGACCTTGGGAACCCTTTCAGTAAGTGTACTGAGACAACTCGCAACCTACAGAGGGAAACAGATTTAGATCCCTGTCTCATACCATTCCCTTTACATTTATGTATGTTTGAAATGATTCATAATGAAAAGGCAGCTTGATTACACGCATACACTGAAGCCTCTTACTCTCTTGGTAAACCACAGGCCAACCATTAGTTTCCTAACTTGTTCTCCTGCGAGGACCCCACAGGACTATGGGCTTACTTAAGAAGCACACAGCCTTTTGAATGCCATGAACCTCACCTCATGGATCCTGGCAATTCCACAGAGTAGGGTGACTTCTCCTGGAAACTTCTCTAAGCCTTGTTTGAAAAGGTTTAAAGCAGTCACAGGTTGATCCAATGAGATGTAAACCTAAAGCCAAGATACATTTCAGTAAAAGTACTGGCTCTTAAAATAATACAGTATTTGTTATGACAAGTTTATAATAATTGCTTAGTAACAAATTATCTCCTAGATATAACACTAAAAAATTGTGTAGGATTAATTTCCAATAATGATATTTGAGTTTTATCTTCACATGCTGTATACGAAGCATTCATTAATTTATTCCTTCAACAAATGCTTACTGTTGGGCTCATCACTGTCACAGAGGCTGAGCAGTAACTCGACCAGGATAAAGGGAAAATCCTTTAGGGTACAACAGACCTGTCTACCGGTTGCCACGAAGAAATCAATTACTAGGTTGAAGTTGGAGGTACAGGAGAAAGGAGGATGGCACATGGAACAAGAGCTGAGAGAGCAGCAGGGGAGAGCTGTGGAGAGGCTGCTTTGGGAAAAGGACCCCCAGAACTAGAGGGGAAACAGATCTGTGAGGGGTGGGGTCAGGATGTTGACAGAGTTAGCATTTGATGGCTTCCACTTAGCAATCAGGACATTAGCATGAAAATCCCACATACCTAAGAGGAATCCCTATAATAGACAGTTATTTTATGTATAGAAACATAAGATTATGACTTTTTTCCTTAATGATGACGGATCCTCTATTTCTTCCCGTACAGCTGGTTTGTGCTTTGCAGAGGCCCAAATGGATACACAGGAAATTGGTTAGTGTTTATTGCCAAAGCATGAGATTACAGGGATAGGTATGGGTGAAAATTTTTCAACATCTATCTTATGTGTTTCCAAACTGTTTGTTTAAATACAATGAATAACATAATTTAATATGCTAAGTAATATAAAACATTTAATCATTATTTTTAAATTAATCATCTAAAATTTTAAGAAATAATTCTGTTACTAAAATCTGCTAATCGCTATTACTTAACAATCATTCCTTCATGTATTAAAGAAAATAAGTAAACTTTACCTCTACACAGTCAGGGAGACAACGGGTTTATACAAATTAATTTATGGAAAAATAGGTCAAACCAGGTATTTAACAATAGTTAAAACTAAAAGTACACTTTTTCACCATGTGGCAAGTGATTATGAAGGAAGATGATAGTCAATGTGACCTGAATTTTAATTTCAAGCTGTCAGAAAAGTTTATGTCTACTGTGATTCCTAGAAACTTCTTTAAGAATTTAAGTTTACTATATAATATGTAGTAGATTTAGGTACCAGACAGTTCAAACATTTTTGAAACCACTGCGCACATGCCGGGAGTAGCACACTGAGCTTATACAGCACCGCTCTCGTTCTGTTCCCTTTCAGTACGCTGATGTCTAAGACTGTTGTTAGGAAGCAGTAGCACTTCTGTTTATATCTCATCTTTTCAACCTCCTTCACCACACTTTTCAATTGAAAAAGTTCTTAGAGGTACAGCAAGATGACATCATAACTGCCACTTCATCAAATGTTTCTTTTAAAGTAGCCTTGGTGAGGGTGAAGAAGTAGCTTTATTCTGATACTGAAAATTCTAGGTGTCCCCTCCCTTCTGCCATGGCTGTGGGTGGCACGATGGACAGTGAGTCGGCTCTGGAATCAGAAAGTCCCGGGTCTGAATGTGGCTCTTAACAGCCAAGTGACCCTGAAATCTTACTTACCCTCCTCAAGTCCCCTTTTCCAGAGTACAAAGGGAATATTGAAACCCACCCTGTGGGGCTGCTACAGGGCTTAAATTAAACTGCACATGGAACAGACCTGGTACAATTCCTCGCCCTGAGCAGGTGGTCTATAAAGGGGAAATACTGCTTTTGTGATTATGGCAGAGCCAAGAAATAAAGGACCTACATAAGAACAACTCCTGTTCTGTACAGGCTGCTTAGGTGGGAGACAGTGTGTTGTAAAGAAAAGGCGGGGGGACGGGGGGCCTGTCACCCACGGGGGTGGTAAACCGGCGCTATTTCCTTCTGCCCTAATGGGCAATCTTTCAAAGGGGTTTTCTTTTTCACGGCCATCGATTTCTCCCAAAACAGCTCTTCTCCATATGGCCTCACATTTTCCCTTGCTAAAGAGAAAACTAAGTTAAGTCTGAAGATATTAACTTGCCAAAATATTCCTGAAGAAACTGGCAACTCTCCCCACGTGCGGGCTGGAATTTAAACAGTTCTCAGAAGACAGATTTCACTCAGATGAAGAATACTTACTTTTGCCAAGTAGAGAAATGTATCTACCATTTCCTGCTGCTTCAGGGCTGATTTAAACTGTTTTTCTGCTTCACGATACATTCCTAACCTAAGAATAGCCATTAAGAAAAATTAGGCATTCACCTTAAAAATAAATACTCCAGCACGCATTCATGCCCTGAGGATATGAATAGAGACAAATTACATCTCTGAGAGTAAGCATGTAGTAAAGAAGGTCATGTCCTACACACATATATGAATATTAACATGCAGTTGATACAGTTTAGCAAAAAGCTGCCTACTTCCCATATTCACTGTCTAACCCTCAAATGCTGTGCAGAGCCTGTTGGCAGTCCAGTCACAGCAGCACTAATAGCTGCCGGTGAGCCAGGTTATAGGAGCTCACCACCCAAAGAGCTTATGATCAGCTGGACATATGGCAAGTGACCTGGATAAATGCTTAGAGTCTCTCTTTTACTGGAAGAGCTAAAGGATGGCATTTCTTGGAAAACACCATTTGCTCTGAGACAGAATCCCATTTTTAAAGCCATTTTAAACAATTTTGATGTAAGGAGCAATTGCCACCTGAGTATATAGCTATACCGTTTCATTATTCTAGAAACATTTTCTTTCCTTTTTTGGTGTCTGATACTGATTGTCCTGGTCTAAAATGTGCGACATGTTCTCTGCTTAACTATAACTGTCCTGAGGTCAGCACCCATCTTTTCTGCCCGGGGAACATTGTGTTACCACTAAATCACTGAAGCACACTCTAGCCTGTCCTCAGTAGATCTGTTCGGATTTCGTATAACTACTCACCCTCAGCCATCTAAGAGCTGCTTAGGCACTTTAATATTGCCTTTATTGTGTGAAGGAAAGCCAGAAAAATACACAGGATGTTTCACTGTGCTACTTTCATATGTAGGCTTGAAAAAATAGCTTTGACCTTTTTTCCTAAACTAGGCCTCAAGCATTGGTGTGGCTATCCTCAAATAGCTTCTGGAAGACATAGGATTACAGGGGTTAAAATGACACCCCCCCCCCAAAAAAACTGGCCTAAAGTTGGAGGATATGTGATATGGCAGAAGCCCCCACCTCTTCAAAGATGTCACAGCTTTATAAGGAGTACTTACAAAATTTTATCGAAGGACACTAAAAGTTCTGGAAAACAGTGTGTCTATATGCTGTTATAACTTCAACTGAACGTGCAAGCCTGACACATATGGCCAAAGTTCATCACTGACTTCCATGAACGCTTCATTAGCCACAAGTCTGTGTATTTTTATCAAGTAAGTTGTCTTTTTCCAAAAATGACTTAACGGGAATTACAACGAAAGACACATATAAAACAAGAATATGAAAACAGAAATAGATTTTTTTAAAAACAATGGACATGGAAGGATAAACAAATTTAAAAAAATAAACAAAAAAGCAATTAGAGCCTCTGAGATACCGGGAAACCAAAGAAAAGGAAGGAAGGATGGGCCATATGTCTTTTATTTCTTCTAGTACATCGAAAAAGGATTTTACCACATGGGTGCTTGTGCAAAGGAAATGGAGTGGGCTGTGTATAAAGAAAGTGTAATGAAAACATCAGTCAAGTTCATGAACACAGGCCAATATCAGTCAGAGTCCAGAGATAATCCTCACCAACTGCCAACTTTTTCTCTGCAGTTTAACTCAATAATCATCAAGCACCAACTGCACGCACATTTCATGATGGTAAGGAGATGCAAAACTGAAGGTAACAACCATGTCCTGGAGGCACCAATAAAGACTGAAATAAAACACGCTCACAAATAAATTTAGTATTATGGCAATGGGGACAAAAATACGTTGAGAGCACAGAGGAGAAGCGAACCAATATAGTTTCAGGGAGGAAGTGACAGGCAAGACTTTGACACATAGGGTGAGGTGAGGGTGAGGGGACATTTCAGACAAGCGAACTGTCAGATAAGTGCACAGGCCGGAAGTGGACGGCGCGGTGGGGGAATGCCAAGCTGTTCTGTTTAGCTGAAAAGGGGGGCACAGTAAGGAATGGGAGAAGCGAGCGATACGGGAAAATATGCAGACTGAAATGACATCGTAGGTACCACACCTAAAATCCAGACTTCATTCTAAAGGTAACAGAAATTGACCAAAGAATCCAACAAGACCTGTGTTTCCACAACAGTTACTCACACAGCAGTATATAGGAAGGACTGATGGGGGGGGGATAGTAGCAGAACATTCAGATAAGAAGCTAATGTAATAATCCAAAGAAATGACACTAAATGCCAGAATGGGGACGCGGGGTGGGACTGGGTAGTAAGGGAGCAACTGTGAAAGTTATTGCAGAGGAAGGACCAGTAGAACTAACTGATCAGGGCAAAGAGGCAGGAGCCAATTTGGGGCTACAGCGTCTGGTAATCCACCCTTGACCTCGCCACTCGAAATCAGGACTCTTTCTCCGGGCTCCGCTGCACCTGCGCTTGCTTCTGTCATAATGGGAACCATGCTTACAGTCGTTTACTGTCCTCTCTCCCTATTGCCTGTAAACCATTTAAAGAAAGAAACCATCTAATAAATATTTGTTACTCCAGTGCCTGGCAGAGTAGCTTTGCATTAAATATTTTACTAAGTGGGTGAATGAATGAATGAATGCTCTATCCATAGTAAAGATGAGAAGCTATTAAGGAACAGAGAAGAATGATACTATGACGAAGTACACTCATTTAAATGCCATCCTATACGGATGGCAGAAGGAATCTGAATTGTACTTATCTTTAATTATTGAAGATTTCTGAAGGCTTTACTTAGAAGCTCGAGATTTCAAGCTTGTCTTCAGAAATTATATTCATAAGAGTTTAATGTTTTAATAGTCTAAAATTACCTTTTTAGCAGAAAACACTTCCTCAATCTAACAGTAGGAAAAAATACTTCAGAGTTCTATGTGAAATATCTAAATGGAAAGTAGTCTTAATTTCAACAGTAAAAGAAAAAGCCTCTTTTTGGTACCATTTACATATTTCCTTTTCCTCACAGTGTTTACTCGAAAACTGAAGTTTATAAGTACTGACGAATGCTCACAGTAACTAGTCTACCTTATTTTTGAATAATAAAAGACATATTTATCTTTATAAAATATAATTTCCCATTTGTCTCTACTTTTCAAATGCTCCAAGTGCATTTCAATATCAGGCAACAAGTTTCAGATCTTATTTACTAGTTGCTGTATAATATTCATAAACTTAATTAAAACTTTTCTGATCTCTCAATTAATTAGCTTAAAATGTATTTAAATATTAAATGAATTAATGTAAGAATATTTAGATCCTAGAGAAACACTATGGAATTGTGCAAATAGTAAAAGAACTAGCGTCAAAACGCGGAGCTGGAATTTTTGTTCTGCCACATACTAGCCATGTGAATTTGGGCTTCATTTTCTCTTTCGAGGCTCAGTTTTTCTCATCGGGACAAGGGTAAATAAGAGCAACTACCTCTGAGGTGCTGTGAGATTTAAGTGAGATAATGTAATGTATGGACAAGTTGTGTCTTAATTGGAAAGCATTTTACACATGTGAGGCAACAGTGGAAATAAAAAAGACTTGAGAGCCAGACGAGTGGAGTAGGAACCAACAGACTCAATTCTGGTCCAGAGTCTATGACCAACAGGCTCCTGATGCAAATCACAGCCTTCCTCTGGCCTCGGCTTCCTCATCTGTAAAGGGTGTTGGACCTGATGGTCTCAAAGCTCCCCCTTCCCAGCTCTAAAATTTTATTATTCTAAAAGTGTCAATTCTTTGTGCCACCACTTTCTCTAGTACAACAAAGACACAGTTCTCATTTCTTCATGAGAAAATCTATCTCCCAAACTGCTCCCCCAAATTATCAGACTTGAGACTCTGAAATATGTTGCCACTCCTAGACCCTTTGCAAATAATGCAAATTTTACCTGTAGTAACATTTTCCAATCTGCACTTTCCACCACCAGTCCTTGTATTGAGAATGCTCTGTGGAAAGGGCAGCCAGGTCCAAGGCCTTGGAAAACAAGTCATTTTAGGTTAGGATTTTCTCCTCTAACAATAAACAGAAACAATGAATAATGAAATAAACCGTATAATCAGCATCAAGCAAAACATGCATTAGAAATCAGACAGCAACTCAAGTTGCTCATGCTTCCAGATGGCCCCACGAATTTCCCCTAAATAATCAGTTCCAGACCAGAGGGCCGACAGCAGATGACAAGTAAACAATGATTGAAGGGAAGCAGGTGTAGAACATATTTGAATGCAATTTTAATATACAAGGCACAAAACTGATACTTTAAAAATCCATACGTGTTCACCCTGTCCCCACCATCTATCGACTATCTAATGATCCAAAACGCCTCCAACTCAGCGGCAGTCAAGCCTTTGGTGTGTTCACCTGGTCCAACTACAGCCCCACTTTAAAGAGAGATGTAGAGGAACAGAAACAGATCAAGGAAGCAGGTAGAAAAGGTCTGGAAAACAGGATCGTGAAGAAGCTGGGGTACTTGGGTAACGGCCATCTTCAAAAACTTTCATTCCACTGTTTTCCCATCACCTCACATTCCAGTAACTCTAAGGGTCAGACTTTCCTTTGCTGAGACCTGAAAAAAATCTCTTTAACTGCTTTCATATTTTACATATGCTTCTCCCATCTCTCTTATGACTTCTAGTTTGTTCCTTTGGAGTTTATTCAAGACCTGACAAGAAATGACTAAATGGGAATTAGAATTTTATACAGAGGAAGTGTAAACCATTTGGACAAGAGAGAAGCAAATCAACCTTTACACAGATTTGAAGCTCACAGGAATTTGATGCTCATGTAAAGATTTAGCGAATAAAAACTCAGGTTGTTCATTAAAAGATAATTCTGATTTTTTAAAGTAATACTTCTTATTCTCTGTCTCAAGAGAAAATTTTTATTCTTTCGAAGGTGTTCATATAATCATGATAGCCAACAATTCAGTTCAAGTAACTCTGAGACTTTCAGTTCTGTTATCTCAGAATGTATCCCATATTATTGTCCATCTCTTACTATTAACCTTTTTCTGAAATAAATGCCAGAAACATTCCTTGAATCTCCTACTGCAAAAAGGATAACATTTCTTTGTGTTCCCCATCTTCTCTTGATCCAGGGGAGACTTCTAAATATGCAAACTACTTATCAAAAAATGGTGTCACCCTGCTGGGGTTCTAATAGACTTGAAAAATCACCATCTCTACTGAAAGATATGGAAATTTAAAAACAAGACACATACAACTTTCATATGCTTATTTTTCTTTTTTCCCTCAAATCAGAAACAAAAATGGAAGCAAAAAGTAAGGGGAAAAGTATAACTTCAATTAGCATTATTCCTGGAAATACTAGAAAAACATATTTTCAGTCAGCTCAATTCAGGAGTGTACTGTAAATACCTGAGCATATTAATTTAAATTTAATCTTTATGAAGACCTTTTCCAGCAAATAGATCATATTCACTCTCATGTTTAATCTAATGACCTTGTTTTTCAGAAAAATGTATCATTTTAATTTTTTAACATCTTCTAACTTTCCAAGGTTAGACTTAGTGCTTATTACAGGCTACTGATGTTGCTCTTACATATGGCCCTGAAACAAGTCCTCCTATGTAGGATCCCTATGTTTATGCTTAAACCAATTAAGGAAATTAATATGAAGTACTGATACAGAATAAAATAATAAAAACCTACATTTTAATGACAATTCTTCATATAACTGAGGCTGCCACTAGACACAATCATTTGTGACCATTTCAAATGGGCCCTAAGTTCCCTGAGGACAGGCACCCCTTCTTACACACCTCTGTTGCCGATATGCAGCACTCCTGTTAAGTAAGAAGCACCAAAGAATTATTTGCTGATTTAATTAGTTCTATCCTTTGTTTCTATTTCATGTTGAAAATAACTTAAACACCAAACACAACTGTCAGAGTAATAAGATTCGTATTAATATTTTTAAATTTTAAAGTGGTGACAGAAAATCTGTTTTTCTTTAAAGTCCCAATTTACTATTTATTTTTCAATTACAATTTACATTCAATATTATTTTGTCTCAGTTTCAGGTGTACAGTATAGTGGTTAGCCAATTGTATACTTTACAAAGTGATCTCTCAATATTTCCAGTACCCACCTGGTACCATACAGAGTTATCACAATATTATTGACTATATCCCCTATGCTGCACTTTACATCCCTATGACTCTTCTATAACTACCAATTTGTATTTCTCAATTCCTTCACCTTTTTCACCCAGTCCTCCAACCCCTTCCTCTCTGGCAATTATCAGTCTAAAGTCCCAATTTTTAAAAATAAATGACTACATATATTTAAGGATCTTTGAATAATTTAACCAATAAAGATCTCAATATTAAAGGCTCAGAATATTGTAAATAAAAATCATAAATTTATGAAAGCCCATAAGCAGAGTCCTCAGCAGACCTAGACAACATGATGTTTGTGAAAATGTAACCACTGAGCCTCCCAATGGATTTCCTAATAGTGCTCCAACTGCTTACATGAAAAAACAACAGTCATCCTTTCACTATTGTTATAGCTGCGACAACTTCAGAATGACGAAATTAAAGTGCATGTGGAAATAAAGATTCCTGAATCACCAACCCACACCCCACTTTAGTTTTGCCAAGTACTGCCAATATTGTCCCAAAAAGGGAGGGGAGGGAGGGAAGACATTAAGTACTCAAAGGCAGAAATACAGTTTCCCATAGATCAACTTTACCCTTTCTTAATACTGAAATACCACTTCATAATATTCTCTAGAATGTATTCTCTGTATCTGTCTATAAACAAATAAAAAATCACCAACCCACATGCCACTTTAGTTTTGTTAATATTGGCACAAGTGGAAAAAGTATTAAGAACTCAGACAGAAATATAGTCTTCCATAGAATATCAATGTGATTTTTTCTTAACATTTAAATACCATTTTACAGTATTCTCTATATTTGTCTAATATTCTCTAAATTTGTGTGAAATAATTCATTTACAAAGAAATTTGGAGGCCACCCAAGGTAACCAGTATAAAAGCACCCCTGATTTCGTCAGCATGTTGAAAAGCAGAATTCCTTCCTTTCTTTTTCCAGCTAAGTTGCAAACCATACACAGGGCATAAAAAAAATGCATGCTTTCTGTTCATTATCTCAATTCTTTTTCCATTCAGAAAATAACATTTGTGGGAAAATCTAAAATGACATTTTAATGGAACAATCTGATCCATAACAGAATTATAATGTGGCAAGCCCATGCCAGCAGGAAATAGATGCAGGCTTTTGTCTCTCTCAGCACTCCTAGCACACATCATAGTACCCATACACAGGCATTCAGTCATTACTCATTCAAAGAGTAATCCAATCAAAAAACAAATCAATCAGTAAACAAACAAATAAAAAGGAAAACAGGGAAACCAACAATTCATGCTTTTTACTAAATAAAGACAAAATAAATTGCTTAATTGTATGTTCTATAAAATAATGTGTATGTATTGGGGGTAAGCAGATGAAAGCTGACAGTGGATTTGAAAGTATCAGCAATTCTCTAACCTTTAATAATTCCATATGTTTATAAGGTAAGAAAGGTAGGAAATAGAACATTTCAAAATCTAAATCCCCAAAGTCAGAAAACTTAAAAGAAAATAGAATGAATTCAAAACTTACAGTCTTAACATCATTTTCATGATGAAAGATATACTCAAACAAAGCCTACGAAGAAAAAATGCCAAAAATACATTAGATTTCATTTTAACAAAAGCACTCGATTATTATATCAAAATTCAAAGGCAGTTTTGACAACAGCTGGATTGAACCAAAATAAGAAGGTACTCTAAAGTGCCTGGGATTTATAAATAATGCGTCTATCCATCATTTGTCACAATTACCCGCTTTAAAATATGGCTATTTACAACTAACTCCTGTCTTTACAGAACACAAACTGGAAAGCTCAGAAAACTGAACTTTTTTTTCATATTTTACATACTATTTTATTATAAAGAGACAAATGTAAAAACTGGCTTTAGGATTGCCATAAAACAGATTCACCCAATTTTGTACACACTTTACATATATTATACAGTGAAATGAATAATGACACGTTAGCCGGGCTGGCGTGGCTCCGCGGTTGAGCATTGACCTAGGATGCAGGAGGTCTCAGTTCGATTCCCAGTCAGGCACATGCCCGGGTTGCGGGCTCAAACCCCAGTAGGGGGCGTGCAGGAGGCAGCCGATCAAGGACTTTCTCATCATTGATGTTTCTCTCTCTCTCTCCCTCTCCCTTCCTCTCTCTGAAATCAATAAAGACATATTTTAAAATAAAAAAAATAAAATAATGACACTTTAGACATAGGAAAATCTAGACATTTCTCCCAAAACAAAGTAGAGTTTAAGTATAAAATGGGATGTTTTTTGCTTACTATTTGGTGACTCTAATGTGCACCAGGGCTGAGAACCATTACTTTAATCCTTCACCCAACTCATCTGGGTAAATAAGCATTTACTGGATTATCTGTTGGTAGTACTATAGCACATTTGTCCACATTAATATTATTTACACTTGCTCAGAGGCTAGTGCCCATGGATGATATCAAGGTTATTAATGTTTGGAAACAACAACAACAAAAATCAGGACAAGTTCTTTCTTTAAAAACCCATACTTAACCCTCCACTCGTGCTGTTACACAGAGGGGAAAGTTCAGGAGTGCAGCTGGTGCTACCACTGCCATGAAAAAGATGTTACAACACCTAGGACAATGTCAGGGAGTGACTACAGACACCCCAAGCAATTTGCCAATATTAGAAATGAGGTCTGAGGAGTCAAGGCAAGTTGGGGACCAAAGATAGAAAAACCTGGCATTACTTCTACAACCCACTAAAAAAAGTGCAAAATCTAGTTCAGTCTAAATCTAGTAACATAGACAGGTCTATTCTGGAAGCATCATAATTTCACTGCAGGAAATGCCTCCATTGACTGCACCCCTTGGTTAGAAAATAGCACTGGATCCATGAGCCATCCAGCCACCTCAAGTAAATGGCCTAAAAAGGTAGAGACCAAGATATTACACATGGGTTGCTTTTAACACTCCACTCTCACAAAGGAATGAGAAATGAGAAAAGCTGCTTGATGCTGCTAAATGAAGTTGACTGGATTGGTGTCAAATAAGAAATCAACAAAACATCATCAGCATTATTACAGTCTGATTCCCTTTCTACCTACTAGCATTTCTTTTCCTGATTTAAACTCCAAGTCTGTATGGTTCGTGTCCATTTCAGTTTTCCCTAGTTTTTGATATTTAGTAAATATGTTAAATGCCACTAGAACTGAGATTAGGAAGAAGCTCAGGACTCTTGTACAGAATTCACAGAGATCACAGGTAAAAACTTGAGCTAGGCTTAAACCAGTTTCCAGAAGATAAGGGCTCCCAGCTGAATAATTCCACCTTCAAGCTTTTTTATACTGGAAAGGTCATAGACACCCTTTCTCTCACTCTTTCCCTCCCTCCCTTCCTCCCTCTCTCCCTTCCTCCTTAATTTAAAGGAGCGTTTAATCTTTGAGTAGTTAGAATTACTAATGTGCTTGGCTTGGCACTGTCTGGCTTGAGTAATCCTTATTGAGATTCCTGATTAATTACTAATTAGAAGGAGTACGTGTTTTTTATCTTCTTTTTGACAGTCCTAAAATCCTCAAGGATAGAAAATTATTTTTCTGAGAATCGGCCACACTGAAAAAGAAAGAAAAAAAAATACACACACACACAGATGACCTTCTAAGCTTCACTCCCTGAAGATGCCACTGCATACATGCTTTCCTTACTGTAAATCACTGTTCTTTATACAGAAAAAAAGAATTTCCTATAACAATGGTACGCTGTATATACTTTATTTCTGAGTGACTTTCCTTAGCTCCAGACTAAGAGGAATTTTACATATTACAGTGATTAAACATGTCCATTTCCATCAAAACACGGCCTTTCCTTCACAAATTTTTATCCATTTCCTATAATGTTATTACGATAATACTTCTAACATTACTTCATAACATAAAATAATTTTAAGTTCATACCTTTGCCAACTTAGGTTTCTGGGCATATTTTGTTAAATTCAGTCTAGATAAATTTATAAAAGGCCCATCAGGACTTGTAAGCATGGACGCCTATGGAGAAAAAAAAAATGGTAAAAAAAAGAAATAGGAAACTTTCCCTTGAAACACAAATTAAAATTTATGCATAAAAATTATAAAGGCAACATAGGTGAAAAGAATCACCTTTAAAAATCTTCCATATAGTTCTCCATTATAACAATAGTGGAAAATGGTCTAACATAATGTTACTTTGGCAGTAGAGGCTGTGTCACAGCTGACAACTCACCGTCCCCAGCCTGACGAATCTTCCAGACGAGCTGGTGATAGGGCGAGCCGTGTAGGCGGTTCTGGGGGCTCGAATGGCCTGTTCCATAGTGCCTGGCCTTCCACTTTGTGTGCTGGGTCGAATGAAACCTGTAATGGGTCTTCCAGCTTGAGTGACTGGCCTGTGACGATTGTAAATTGTTAAAATACAAAGACGATTAATAAAGGAAGATTCTCACAATCTGGACAGTATTCAGTGGCAGAGGGATGAAGCAGAAGTAAGTACATGCCTGACAGCTGGACTAGGCCCTCCTGTCTGATTCGTCCCAGGGAGTTTCAAGGATGTTCCAGGGCCTGTGAGATGAGACAGTGGACTCACTTTACATATTATTTATTAAATTGTAAAAACTGTCAGCTAACTACTTTTCAGAAATGTGCTGGCCTGGTGAAAAAGACATTAATTAACAGGAGATATATTTTAGGAAAATGTGTTTGAGACTAATATTTATTGGGTATCTATCACATGACTTATATTATCATAGTTAATCTTCACACTAAGTCTATCAGGTAGATGGTATTAACCCACTTAGCAAAGGCTTAGTGCAGTGATTTTCAACCGGTGTGCCTCAAGAACTTTTAAAATGTGCAGTACCTGACTACATATTTTGTAAACACAAGATTTCCTCCTCCTAATGGCAGTTCATTTATTAATTGAAAAACCAACACTTACGTGGAACTTGAGCAATAGCATTTTCATCCAGTATCATTTCCGCAATTCCTTCCTGATCTACATCAATTTCATCGACATACACCATTTCAGTTAGTGCTCGTGCTTTTAAAATCCAAGCTGCCTAAAAAGCATGGATAAAATAAAGCATATATTAAACAGCATCGGAAGTACTGCAAATCCTATAGAAGCCCACCATTTTTTATTATTAGCTAATTTTTTATTAAACATGTTTACCACTTAATGTATTATACTAATTTAAAGGGCTATGTCAAGAAACTAATACAAGAAGGAAATGTCATTATTTATCATGAAACAACCAATATGTGAATTACCTAATAAATAAAAGTGTGATAATTACCCGGTGGTCTTCTAACATACCTTTTTATAAATAAAAGACCTTTAGAGAAAATTTTACTAGAATAATAAAGGGCCAAGTCCTTCACGATGACTTCCCGGATAGTTCAACTCTAACCCTACTTCCCTCTTGTCTAACAGGGCATCCTTTTTATACAGTGGTACCTCGGTTTTCAAATGTACTCCATTCTGGAACACTGTTCGAGTTCTGAAACGTTCGAAAACCGAGGGATCAACAGCTGACAGCTAGGCCTCGGGATCTTGCCCTCAGCGGAAGCCAGGTGGCATATTTGACTTCCCAGGCGTGTTCAAAAACCAAAGCATTTCCTTCTGGATGTGCAGCATTCGTAAACTGAAATGCTCGTCCACGGAGATATTCGAAAACCAAGGTACCACTGTACTTCTATTATTATGTACTTACCATATTTGACAAACACTATAATTATTTGGGCGTAGGTTAGCCCTCCCTTCCAGAGAACACAAGCTTTTTTACCTGGTTCACTTTTTAATTTTCTGTAACACTTATGGTTTTTGTATACAATAGGTATTCCAAAAATGTTGAAATAACTAAGATCCATTTCTCCCAATTCCCAATAACTAATCAACACAATCTTGGTTGCTTTGTGATCTAGCAGTAGAAAACCTGCTAGAAAGTGGAGGGGGAAAGACAAATGTAATTAAGGAATCTGGAAAAATATCTTACCAGCTTTGTTTTAGCTTGAGGAATTAGATGTAAAAGGGTACACAATTAAATATCTTGTTAAACAGTTAAAACTACTTTATCAGAAATGTTTACCTTTCTGCTTCACTACAGAATGGAAGCAGAGAACAACAAAGCTTGGTGTCCTGGGGACAATATGGGGAGAAGGCAAGTCTTGAAGCAGCAGATAGAACTGAGTATAGTCTAGAATACGCAGCAGCAAGGGAAACGTAGGGCGGGCTTAGAGCTCACAGTACTAGGGATCTGGCTGTGAAGCCTGCTGACGGAAGGCAAAGGGACTGAGAGTGGAATAGTGCTACCTCGGTTTTCCAACGTCTCCGTTGATGAACATTTCGGTTTACAAACCCACCTCAGAAGTCGAACATGCCACCCGGCTTCCTCTCAGGGCAAGATCCTGAGGCCTAGCTGTCGGCTGTTGATCCCTCAGTTTTCTAACATTTCAGAACTCGAACCGTCTTCCAGAATGGATTACATTCGAAAACCGAGGTGCCGCTGTACATGAGAGCTACAAAGGTCCAAAATGTCCTCACATAAGGAACCCGAGTTGCATTCAGTCAGTCCACATCTGTTAAGTACCTCCTAAATAGAGCATTGGGCTAGGTTCTGAGAAGGAAACATGAGAATAAAACTTGGATCCTAATTTCCCTGAACACATCACCTACTGGAATAAATGGCAAGGCAAAGCAGTGCAAGTGTGTGGCATGGACAATAGTTTTATAGGAATTAGAAAGTAGAGATCGCCTTGTGGGCTAAAGTAGTTGGAATGCATATATTTAAAAAAATTTTGTAAACAAAATATTTATGTTTTCATTTTAATGGGAATAAAGAAGACTATCTTCATGCTATATTTGGATCCTAAGGTGAAATAGCATTTGTTAGGAGATTGGTTTTTTTGACTTGTACTTTTCTGGATGAGGTTTACTGGATTCTTATCAGATAAGTTAGAATAAAATGTTTCAAATGTTATGCATAAATTTAATTCAATTGAATGAGCATAATATGGAACCAAAAAACTAATTTGAAAAAAAAAATCAATTCCAATTGGAACGCATCTAACTATGGGAACCAGGAAAGTGTAGAAACAACCTGAGATTTCACTCATAAAACATCAGGAAAGTTGCCAGATGTATACAGCTATTCTCAGGGGTCAGGGGAGTTATCACTGGATTAGACTAGTGGTTTAACTTCAAAGACAGAATAAGTAATTTTGATGTAGTCCCCACATACTTGCTGCTCTGCAAGTATGGAATGGCTTTATTTTCGGGACATTCTTTGCTCAGCACCCTCTGGTGGACAGGAAGAAGGACTGCAGCATTTTCTGTTGGAACAGTAAAGCAGGAAGTGGGCTTCCTCTCCAGCCAGTGGTTCATTCCCATATTTAACTCAGGAGCGCCTACTGCTTGCCAGGTCCTGGAAACAGAGAGAAGGAGGCCACAGTCCTAGTTCTAGCACATGAGAATTTCAGTGTTATGGGAAAAGTGTAATAACAAAATGTTGGAGATTTTGGAGGAGAAAGGACCCAGCTGCCTTTGGGTAGAGGGAAGAGTATAGAAGCATTTGGCCCAATGGCCAAAACTGGAAAGCTTGTGCCAGGCAAAGTAAACAATGGAACAGAAGCAGGCCAGTTTGGTGGCTCCAAGAGAGTTGAGTGCAGTTGAAGAATCAAGATGAGCCAGGGCAGCAATCAGAGAAGGAGCTGGAGAAAAATGCAGGAGCCAATGGATGATGGACCCTGTATGCCACAGTCAGGTATATGAATTTTTATCCTGGTGATGAGGAGCTAATGAAACTTCACAACCATGATTTGGAGTTCTTGTTAAGTGGACTTTCTAAAAGTCAAGTTTTTAATATTATAGTATCATTTGTATAGTTGGGTATTAATTATCCATGCACATATTTTTAAATTATTCTTATGTCCAGACTTTATCTCATAGTTCAAACCATCACGCTTCTTGACATTTATCTTTCTACTAACCTCTCAAATATTAAGGAGGTGCACTTTTTTAATATATTAGGCTAAACAAAACATAAGAAAGTAAATCCACTATCCCCTCCCTGACCAAATAAATAAATACTTCAGAAGCCAAATAAGTACATTTTAAAATTTTTATTCCATAAGAATTCACTTTTTAAAAAATGTAAATAGAGCTATATTAGTTTCAATTTCTAAAACCCAATTTTTAAGAAGCAGAAGTAATGATGTGAATTTTTGGTATTTAAAGCTCTGTAAAAATCTACTTAAACCATTATTAAATTTTAAATTTCATCAGCATTTGAGAATATTAATCTTCCTGACTTTCCTTCTATCCCAACAAAAAATGACCTTGAAAATCACATATCACTGCTGGATTAAACATCAGATTGTATTCAAAGTACTGCTCTTGGCAATGTGAACAAGTCTTGAGATTTTAATAAAAAACAGCAGATGGGGCTTTGGCTTTAAAAAAAATTAAAAATTTTATTTTGGAAAAAAGCCATGTATGTTTTACAGCTCTAAAATCCTCTGCCTGTTTAATTTTTTTTTTTTTAATCAAAACTAATCAGTGATTAAAATAAAATGCATAGTAAAGCACAATCTGTGATCCCAAATGGCCCCTTGAATCTGAATAAAAGTATAAATTAGCTTTATCAGATATGTTTAACTTGTTGAAAAATGACAGGGTCATGCAATTTATGTAAATAATTTGAATACCTAGAGGTTGGAAGTACTGTGAAATCCACAAAAATAATAGATGCTTAGAAACTTCTTTTAAAGAAAAAAGCATAGATTCTCCCAATCTAAACGAGTGGTCACCACATGATTAAGCCCTTTTTTATCTTTGAAACATAATCCCATCTCGTTCACCTACAGAGTTAGACTACAGGTCATTATTCTGGAGGCAAATATCTACCCGCTAATTATCAGGAAAATATTGACTTGTTCTACTGTCTGAGGTTAATCCAATTTTAGTTATAAAAATAAACATTTGAAAAGGTAAAAATTATACTGACTGAGGGAAACATGTCTAAATTGTTCTGTTTCTCTTAATATAGAAATGCAAGGCCAGTAATTAAAAGCATGTAAGAAACAATTTTGCTAGGTTATTATTAAGAACAGTCCGTCTAACCCAATTTTGAAATCATAAGAATCAGTAATATTTGACACTGCCTAGTTTATGAAAATGAAAACTTAGGCACAAAATATTGAATTTATTTTTAAGTTGTAAAATGTGCAAAAGAAGAGGCAAAAGTATAAATAGTGAGCTCAAAAGAATCCAGTCAGCCTTGTTCCCTTTTCAGTCTTTCAGCTCACTAACCACTGGATAATTAAGTCTATGGTAACATAACAGGAAGGAAATACTAAGGACAAGTCTTTCATGAAGTCCCTGTGCTCTTTTGAAACTTTCAAATGCCATTTACAGTTTTAAAGCCATACCAACAATGCAAATTAGTGGTTTTAATTTTAATCAAAATCTTCCAAAATCACTGAAAACAAAATGCACACTACTTACCCTATTTATAGTTTAGGTCCTTCTTAAATGACTTGTACATATTATGCAAAAAACTTTTGTACCATCTATCAATTTGGAAATCATGGTTATAAACATTTCAAAGACAAATGGCATACTTCCAAAGAATAGAGTACTGCATTCTAACCTATTTACAGTGTTTGCTTAATACTCTCAAGCCTCTATAAGACTTTATATATTGCTTTCTTCTAAAGGGTTTGGTGATTATTCATATGAACCCCATATGAGGTTCAAATAGCTTATTTACCTAAAAAACACTTAAAATTCTCTCTCAATTGGCAGGGCAAACGCCTGGCAATATTTAAGCTCTGATTTACAGCTCTTTCCTCCCTTCTCCATTTTCTCAGACTTACCGGAAACCCACTTGGGCTAAAAGCTTCACTGGTCAGGCGTTCCCCTAAGAGACCTCCTCTCTCTCTCATTCACTGTGTCTTACCCAGTTAACAGGTCTCTCTGACCACCTCCTACTTCTAACCACGTTGACTTGGTAGAGGTGGCTGTCTGGCCTGTGTCCCTCCCCTTCTTCTTTACTGTGAC